AGATAAAAGAGAGGCTGTGTGCAGATCATGACGCTTGTGTTCTCAGTGCTCTTGTTCGTCTGTAGGGAGCTGCACAGTCTGCTGAGTGAGCAATGCACGCTAGACACCGACTCTGGCACCGGCCTCAGTCTGCCCACCGTCATCAGTAAGACCGACGCTTCACACGTTTCGTATTATATTTGATCCATCAGGCTTTGATTATCTATTGGTCTTTGTCACAGGCTCTATTCCAGAGGATGTCGTGGAGGATATCAAAGGTACGTCATATAGACACGCCTCCTCATGCATCGCTCTACATTACTCTTGACTCGTCTGTAAAATTGCGAACACTGTTTCATGTTGACTTGAACAGCTAACTGTGTTGTCTGTGTGTCTGTATTTAGTGCGAGTGTGTTTCGTTAGTGACCTGCAGAGGGGCATGAAGATCCAGGAGGCCAAATTTAACATGGACGGCTCTGCTGAGGTCAGAGAACATATTAGAGCCATCAGTCGATTCAGATGATCAATTGCTAGAAATATCAGGAAAGAAAACAAATATTCACAATCATAACCGATAATTAAGCAACAAATCAGCATATTAGAATGATTTCTGAAGATCATGTGACACTGAAGACTGGAGTAATGATGCTGAAAATACAGCTGCGCATCACAGGAATACATTACAGTTTAACAGATATTCACATAGAAAACAGCTGTTTTAAATTTTAATAATATTTCACAATTTATACTGTATTTTTGATCAAATAAAAGCAGCCTTGGTGAGAAAAACAAATTTGGTAGTGTAATATACAATTAAATGTTTTATATAGTTTTCTGTTAATTGTACATTAAAAAAATAATAAAGTAAAAATAAATTTTCCAACAACACTTTATTTAATGAAGCATAAACATTATCAAAGGAATAAAATAAACACTTTCTGAATTCAACTTAATCTAAATCACACAATGCAATAATTAAATAATATAAAAATTATCCCACGCTGTATAAACTGTGTAACGTGTAGCATTTTCTCCAGTGTTTTTTTTTTTTTTAATGTTTGCACAAATGATGGTGTTTCGCTCATCTGTGATATTTTTTTTATAAACGTCATCCAAATCAACCAAAGACTGCAGATGATTTTTGTTATCTTATTAGATATATATAGTTTTACCAATAACATGTTTAAGATTAATGTCAGATTAATAATTCAGTATGTTAACTGAGTAAATATTCACGGTCGCTCTGATTGGTCCATCAGAGACCGGCTCCTCCCCCAGATGTGGAATATCCGTTGGATGGCCGGAAGATTCTGCATATCAAGGGATCCATCAGGTAAAAACGCGATGATCTGCTTTTTCCCAACTCTAATACCTCGCAGTCACATATCTGTGGGTATATTTATCATAATGTTCCTCCTAGAGTTATTTTTTCTAGCTGACTATCAAGTTTATGGCCATTGGATGTCTTGACATTATTAATCTCAAGCTTTTATCCACAGATTTTAAGATGGTTATTGTCTCCGAGCTTCCTCCTGCTGACTGGGGCCGCTCTCTCTTACAGACGGGGTTTTGTTTTTAATCTGACCCACGTTCTGTGCTTCTTACTGAAACGTGCTCTGCTGTTTTCCAGAGACTCTGTGGCCGAGATGTTGTTCGAGCAGGATAACGAGGAGAAATCCATCGCCACGCTGCTGCTGGACACTTTGGTGAAGGTACAAAATATTCAATTCAATTGAATTTTATCAAAGGATGAGGAAGCGTAATGCTGTCGCCACTGATAAGCATATTAAACCAGGATTTCACAGAACTTTTTTCTGATTTTTTGCATCTTAAAATGACCGTGCTGCGCCTTTTTTCTCAAAATTTGCGGTGATATTTGCTGCATTTCTTATTGTTTTGCAGTGGAAATATACCACAGACAACATTCTTCTAACATTATGACTTTTCTGACTTTGAGAGCCACTGTAGGGCACCAGTGAATAGAATTAACAGAAAATAACTTTTATTACTGTCATTCATAATGTCTAAATATAATTTAATAAATACAAAAAATGTATATTAGGGAGTGGAAATGGCTAATAAGCCTATAACTAAGTACTTTTCTGCAGCCATCTACTATTCAATTCAAGTTTATTTGTACAGCGCTTTTCACGATACAAATCATTGCAAAGCAACTTTACAGAAAATTAAGTTTCTACAATATTTAGTGGTAGCTTATCAGTGGTGACTGTCAGTTAATGTACATATGGCAGAAATGTACGGAAAATCAATTAAAGACGTAATCAAGCAGACGATGAACACTATTAACAGCAATTATTATTTTGTTGATAATTTAACATTTTTGAAAAAAGTTGCCAGCGATTTTGATGATTTTCACTAAAATTTGATGGCCTCCGGTATATTTTGCGGTTTGAATATTTGAATATGCAATATACCAAAATAAAGATCAGAGCCTCTACTTTTAAACCAAAAAAAAGTCTGTTTTATTCTAGCTTAAAGCATTCTTTTTTTATCAACACTTGAATATAGGTACGTTTCATAAAAAATGCATAATTTTGATCAAAAACAAAAAAACATTTTACTCCGTAACATTTTGCAGTTTTCATTTATATGCTGTCTATTGCTGATGATTTTCATAAGCATCTGTTTACATAAGAGATGGCTCGAGATGGCTCGTTTCTCCGTCCTGTTCACGTGTGTTTTTGTTCGGGAGGTTTTGTACTCGTTGCACTCCAGCGGCGAAAATTACATATTGTGCCTTTAATGTCTTTTTTATTTTTAAATAAGTGTTTGCTTTCCTACATTATGAAACTTTTTTAGTTTTATAAATGGGGGCAACCTATGAAGGATGAACAAATAATGTCATCACATTAAAAATAACTTTCAAATTCGGTAATACTTAAAGCTTTGAAGTGCTGGGAAAAGTTGTGTCAGGCACTCGAAAACATTAGACCATTTCTGCCACAAGTAGGTGGTGATTTGTGTTTGTTGAACAATGTTTTTCCTGGTTTCCACATCAGTGGCGTTTGTTCTGATATCTGTAGCTTTAACAGAATTCTGCGACGAATTCGACTGCTTTCTTCACTGAAGAGAACGCAAGGCTGTTCATTCCATTTTTGGAACTGAGAAACCTTTCTTTGACTGAATGCATGTCGCAATGACGTCACGGGACATGTCTAAGCCCAAAAGCTGCGGAAAATCTGCGGCAATTACGAAAATGTGCGAGCTCTTGCGAAAATTGCGAAGTTTGCTTGATTTTGCGATAAATTCAGCGATCGCAGAATCCTGGAGGGACTGTTAAACCATTCTGCTTTCCCTCTCTTACGACGTTCCTGAAAAGTTCCTTTCATTTGTTTTATCCGATGTGATGATAAATTCTAAAAGTCTCGTTCCCAATTAAAGTTTTCATTTAGTTATAAAACGAAACGAATAATAGTCAATTAATTATCACGTTTATTTTATAATCAACACTCAAGTAAAAAACGAGTTGATTAAGCATTTAAATCGCACATAAAGCAGTTTTCGTATAAACATTTTAATGGGATAATTTTGTTTCTACTCCAATTCGTTGTTGAAATATAAGCATTTGAACAGTTTTAATGACAGATTCATTCAAACATAAAATGTATGAATATGTATATCGACATCTAAATTGCACATAAGGCAGTTTTTATATCAGCTAATAATTCGTTGTTGAAATATAAACATTTAAATGGTGGCTGTAAAAAAACTTGTCTTCATGACAGATTCGTGTAAACATGCATTAAATAATAAAGACAAAAGGTTCAGTAACAAATATAATTAATATGTAATTTTAGTGGATATATTTATCATAATGTTCCTCCTAGAGTTATTTTTTCTTGCTGACTATCAAGTTTATGGTCATTGAATGTTTTTCTTGAGGTAAATGTGACGTTATTAATCTCTCTATAAAGCTGTTTTATTGACATTTATCCACAGCCGCTTACAAAACTCTTTCAGCTAATATTTTTGTTGCATGCATCACTAATTAGTTTGGTTTGTTTATATAATCAAAGCTAAATTTATTTAATATTTATTTTTAATTTAACACCCACAGTCTATTCTAGCTAGCTTCGATTTGTGTGAAAACAGGCGGAAAGCTACGAGGTTTTAAAAGAGTGCTAAGGGAATTATACAAATGAATATATGAATGAATTAATTATATGTACCTCTGAAGGTTCTGACTGTCTTCAGAAAAGATTCGATGGCATTTTGTTTTCATCTTCGCTCCATGTGTAATACCTAATAAACTAGTGTTCTTTACGAGAAACAGATGTAATTCTGCTGCTCCATCAGCGCCACCTGCTGTCACAGAGTGGATTTACAGAGACTCGCATTCACATTCAGTCTGAGCAGTTTCTGTCTGGACAAAAATATTCTGGAGTTAATTTACATGCTCTGCTGTAATTTATGACCGGTTGATGAAAAACAAGCTTATGTGGATTCTGCACGTTTAAACAATTTGCATAAGGTATCTAGAATTATTTATGGAGCTGATAAAATACATATAATCATTTATTAATCAGTTATAATTTTGACTTAACTCTTTTCTTTATTTAAAGGCTGAAATGTGAGGTTTCATACGTAATTAGATCAACTGTTGTCATTTAAAATCTGGACATAATTGGTAATGTTATAGTTTTAGCGTTTATGCAAACAGAAATGAATTTTATTTATTGTTGATTTTAAGTACAAAAATTGGTGAAACGATTTAAGTGTCCAGCACATTTTAACAATACCGTGATCATTTTGGTCACTATAATCGTGATGAGAAATTTGCATACCGTTACATCTATAGTCCTCCGTTTTCCCTGCATGCAGCTTGTTCATTGTGTGTTTGTTCCTCACCAGTGTCCCATCGACACTCGCAAGGTTCTGTCGGAGAACGTGGTGATAATCGGCGGTACGGCCATGCTTCCCGGGTTCCTGCACCGACTGCTGTCTGAGATCCGCTCGCTGGTGGAGAAATCCAAGTACTGCGATGCTCTGGCTACCAAGAGCTTCCGAATCCACAGCCCACCCGCCAAACCCAACTGCACCGCCTGGTTAGGAGGTGAGCAAAGAACGGCACGGCCGAGGCTTTGAGACTCCTGACCTCTGCATGGGACGAGAAAAGATCTAACGCGTTTTATAAAGCAGTTGTGAAAATGAAGATTCGCTGAAAATGTGCTCACCCTCAGGTCATCTGAGATCAGGATGAGTTTGTTTCTTCATCAGGTTTGGAGAAATGTAGCATTGCATCAGTGTCTCAGCAATGGATGCTCTGCAGTGAATGGGTGCCGTCAGAATGAGAGTCCAAACAGCTGATAAACACATCACAATAATCCACAAGTAATCCACAGCACTCCAGTCCATCAGTTAACATCTGGAGAAGACAAAAGCTGAAGCATTAAGACGTTTTTAACTTCAAACTATTGCTTCTGGCTAAAATATGAGTTCATAATCCCAGTTAAAGGTGCCATAGAATGCATTGATACTTTATATTTTAAATCATATCTACATAGAAGGTATGTGGCTTAGGGAAAGACAAAAATTCTCCAGAAACTGTTTTACATGTGCATTTACAACCCTAGGATTTGTCCCTAGAATGAAATGGTCTGTTATTACCTTATTTGGAAGGGTCATGAATAATAATGTTGAGCTCTGCTCTGATTGGCTCATTTCAGTAGCTCACACAGCAAACAGATCTCTACTGTCCGGCGTGAACGATGCAGAGATTAGGCATCCAACCTTATATGTTTGAGCCTGTATCAGATGACGATACCGATTTTGAGAGATTTTGCAAGATTGTTTAGCGTCCGTGATCGCTGCGAGACGCTGGCGGAGTGAACGAGGCTTGAGAGAGTCGTGAGTGAAGCCTCTGTGTTGCCAGATCCAGCTGTTATAATCGTATTTGGACTTGTCTTTTCCAATTTTTTTGACACTTAGTTAATAAAGTAGGACGTTGCAGTTTAGGGGTCAGCGATATCTTTATCTTATCTTAATTGCAAAAGATTTGAAATAATTTCGGTTTATTTGTGTTTATTTATCGGTGTTTGTTTGTTTTAATAGCAATATCTGGCAACACTGCCAAGGTAGTGTTTCAACTATGCCAAGGTAAATACAGTTTTCCATTCTATGACACCTTTAACAGAAATATGTTCTGATAATGTTTTGCTAGCTTTCCCATGAAGTTATGAAAATGTTATTTTTGAATGTTCACTGGACGTCCAGTTGTTTTAACATGTTTTTTCCTGGTTATGAGAATGTTAAGGGAACATTTGTTCATTTGATGGAAACGTTACTTTTGAATGTTCTCTGAACATCGTGAAACAAGTAGTAACATTTAAAAAAAATGTTAGACGAACGTCCAGCTAAAATGTTTCAGAAAAATTCCATGAACAATGCATGAATAATGTTTTTGTGCCAACGTTTTGAGCACATTCCCTGTTAGCTGGATAACACTTCCTCCAATGAAAATGTCATTGGATGTGACATTTTTACAAATGTGACCCTGGACCACAAAACCAGTCATAAGGGTCACTTTTTTGAAATTGAGATTTATGCATCATCTGAAAGCTGTGTAATAAATAATCTTTCCATTGATGTATGGTTTGTTAGGATAGGACAATATTTGGCTGAGATACAACTATTTGAAAATCTGGAATCTGAGGGTGCAAAAAAATCTAAATATTGAGAAAGTAATCTTTAAAGTTGTTCAAATGAAGTTCTTAGCAATGCATATTACTAATCAAAAATTAAGATTTGATATATTTACGGTAGGAAATTACTAAATATCTTCATGGAACATGATCTTATCTTAATATCCTAATGATTTTTGGCATAAAAGAAAAATCTATAATTTTGACTCATACAATGTATTGTTGGCTATTGCTAAAAATATACCCCAGCGACTTAACACTGCTTTTGTGCTCTAGCGTCACAAATCTAATGAAGAAACACACTCATCCACGTCTCGGATGGCCTGAGAGCGAGCACATTTTCATTTTTGGGGGAACTATTCCTTCAACACACCTGGATATCTCAATTTTCTGCCAGTGAACTTTTGAACCATTCACTCAAGCTTGTTTTGTCTCTTCTTCCCATGTAGGTGCTATATTTGGAGCATTGCAGGACATTTTAGGGAGTCGCTCGGTGTCCAGAGATTACTACAATCAGATGGGTCGCATCCCAGACTGGTGTTGTCTCAGCACCCCACTACCGGATTCAGTCTATGAGGCGGGAAAGACGCCTCCGCCTCTCATGAAGAGGGCCTTCTCCACCGAGAAATGAACTGGACACTTCAAATTTAACCTCCTATAAATTCCTCTGCTTATTCAGAAACATATACGAGTCCTCGCCTGTAATAGCCTAAAGTCTGTCATATTAGTCAGCTATACCTAATTTGAATAGTAGGTGAAACCGAAACCACTAGGGGTCAGTCATCATCGGCTCATCGTGAAAGAGGGGAAAATCTTTTCAAATGCACTAAATGGTTTCCAACGCATAACATGTATCCAGCCTAAACCATGGCAGTACTTGTGTAGTTTAGGTCAACTGCTTACTTTTTATTATTATTTAAATGTATGCTTGATCTTGCACCATCGAAGACAGATCATGGAAGGCATCTTGACCATAATGCCAAGAAACTACATAATAATTCAATTCTATTTAACAACAACAAGCTTGAAGCGCTGAATATGTTGAAAAGTTGTGTGTATGTATTAGGTTTGTGAAAAAATAAACCTTCCAAAATTGGTGTTTGCTGCTGGGGTCTTCTATTATACTTGTCCATTAAGTGTCAACTGATTTAGGCATGTTAACTCGGATTGCTCTTTTCTTTTTCTTTCTTTTTTTTTTTTGCAGTCATGTTTTACTAAAGAAAGTTTGAGGTCTGATCGTAAAGAATAAAAGGCTGTCAGGGTTTCTCTTTATGTATTTTCCAGTGGTTTCAATAAACTTGCATGACATACTTCTATGGAAGCTTATTTCCCCCAAGGAATCAAAAAGGTAAATTTGGCGAAAAAAAAGTCAGCATCGTTGAGATATTAGCGAACTGTGAGATCAGTCGTGACATAAATAGTCAAAATAACCTTTTTTATTTTTTTTTATTCTGTTGTGGAAATAAGCTTCCATATACTTAAAATCATTTAATGCTTAAAATAGTATTTTCATCATATTTGTAAGAGCACACTTGTCTGAAGGGAGTGGTAAGGACAACGCACCAAAGATGAACATCTACTTTTGGCAGGTTCCAGTAACTAACTTGGGCTTGAACCTTTCTTATTTGTTGTCAATATGACATTGGAATCAAGAAACACCATGTTAACAGAATTTGAGAACCAATTACAATCAGATTAGTAAGATATTATGAATTACGTTTGTGCATTTATGTTCAAAATGGGAAAAATAAGAATTGAATCTTGAGATCCATTGAGAATCACTCAGTTGCATAAGCTCCTGTTTCTGCAAGTCTGGAGAACCATGAGGGTTAATGAAGAGGGAGGGACTATCGTTAAGTAGCTGAAATCTGTAGAGTACAAAAAGACCAAAGGGCAACATCTTAACAGTATGATTAGCTGTTAAACAATGGTTATAAGTTGGTGTTTGTTTCAGATTTTGGCAGTTTGTGCGTTCTGTCATGCTGTTCCACAGTGGAGTAATCTGCTCCAGAACCCTCAAGCTCTGATGATCCAGCAAACTGACCAGCGGTTTCAGCAGCCAGTTCAACAACAAACTAACCAGCAACTCAGAATTAACCTGCCCTTGTACTTTTGTTCCAGTGACTGTCCAGTGTATTAGAGATGGGCAGTTTGTGGTAGTGGTGGCTAGAGACGTTACTCTACCTCGACTGAGTCTGGATTCGGTTCGTCTACTGGGTGGAAACAACCCACCTTGCGCTCCTGTGGAGTCCACACCTTACTTTGCTATATACCAGTTCCCTGTGACCGCATGTGGCACGAGCATGATGGTGAGCAGCTGCTTCTGGTTTTATTCTGCATTGCTTATGATGGACTGGATGGTGACACTGTTCTTGTTCACAGGAGGACAGTGGATATGTGGTGTATGAGAACAGAATGACCTCCTCGTATGAAGTGGGGATTGGACCGTTTGGTTCCATCACAAGGGACAGTCATTTTGAGTAAGTGATCTATGACTTGGTGTGAATGTTATTCTCTGATAAATGCTACAAGCTCACCATCTGTTGTCCAGGCTTCTCTTCCAGTGTAGGTACTCTGGAACTTCTGTGGAAGC